GTCAAGCCCTCGGGGAGCACTGATGCTCAGAAGCTGTCCTCCTCTGGGTACTGTTTGCATCTGGTACCCTTGAGTCAAGCCCTCAGAGAGCCCTGATATGTAGAACCTGGGTGACGCTGATGGGGTCCCCAGGTTCCTTGCCCCTTTCTACATGTAGGTAGAAAAGCAGGGTCCATTCAGGACTTATGTGGTTTGGTTTAGTGAATTGGAAGAAATGGCTGCTATAGTGCTTGGAAGACTATATTTTCTTTTTTGTTGTGCTTTGTTTTCGACACAGGGTTTCTTGGGTGTAGCCCTGGCTGTCCTGGAGTCACTCTGTGGGCCAGGCTGGACTTGAACAAGATCTGCCTCCCAAGTGCTAGGATTAATGGTGTGCACCACAACCCTCCCAGCTGAGACCAGCTTCTCCTCTCAGCTGTGTAAGGCTGGAGAAGGGAGGGACCAGGAGGAGGTGTGTGACTCAAGAGAAGACACAAATTACCAAGCCAGCAAAGGCAGTCTAGAACTGTGAGAAGCTGTCGTTGCCATAGTAACCACTGCTGGCTCTGTGGCCAGGGTCTTAGTGCTAGGCCTTGGGCCTTCCTATGCCAGCATTCCTGCAGAAAGGAACTGGGAGTGAAGCAGAGGAGGAGGGACACAAGAATTATCTAATGCCTCCATGCCATGCTCAACTAGGTGACCCTCGAGGAAAAGGGACCTTCGTTTTGATCTTCCATGTCTTAGCATCAGGTCCTCAGCCCATCTTGATCAATAACCCTCAGGGTAGAAGACTGAGAAATGTAATTCTGCATTAACCAAGTTGACAGTGCAAACCAACCCAGATAATTTTAAAACCTACATAATTTGGGTGATAGCATATGAGTCCTTTTACATAGGCTCTTGGTCTAAGTAAATACAGTTAGTGACCCCTACGGAGTTCAGATTCATAGAGTGATAATTTTGTTTGCAGAGAAAAGGTTTTGGAAGACTCCTGTAGACACCTGGAACATCTTCCTGCTGTCTCTCTCAACGTGGTACAATGTTAATAGGCCATGTACTCTTAACGTCTGAATGCTGCTATAACATTTGGTGTAACGCAAAATATTCTTGGACTAGGAAAAATTGGAAGGAGTCTACTAGCGCACTTTGTAAAGGAAAAAAAAAAAACTAAAACAGGTGAAGAAAGGTGCCAAATGGTTGGCTAGGGGATCAGGGTATACCTTCCGTCACCAACCTGTCTGCCTGACAGTGGACACTTCTAACTTTAATTGTAAATTAAAGTAGATTTTTCTTGTTTGCTTGTGGTTTCTGAGACAGGGTCGCATGTAGCCAAAGGCTGGTTTTCTTAGAGTTTCCATAGTTGTGAAGCGGCACCCTGACCAAGGCACGTCTTATAAAGGAAAACATTTAATTGGGGCTGGCTAATAGTTTAGAGGTTTAGTCCGCTATCATCATGGCAGGAAGCATGGCAGCATGCAGGCAGACCTGGTGCTGGAGAAGCCGAGAGTTCTTGATCTGCAGGCAGTAGAAGGAGACGGTGTGCCACACTGGGTGTGGCTTGAGCATTGGAGACCTCAAAGCCCACCCCCACAGTGACACACTTCCTCCAACAGTGCCTGCCACACCTACTCCAATAAGGCCACACCTCCTAATAGTGCTCCCTATGGGCCAAGCATTCAAACACATGAGTCTATGGGCCCACACCAATTCAACTACCACACTGGTCTTGAAGTAGTTAGATAGCCTGATTATGACTCCTCGGTGCTGAGATTATTGGCATGTGCCACCATACCAGATTTGGGTAGCAGTGAGCTTTAGGAATTATTTCTAATGGTGTCATTTTACCACTGTAGACAAGGGGCATAGATCTTCATGACAAGGACTCCAGATGGAACGGACTTTTAAACTGACTCCGACAGCTTTAACTGACACGGTTGGGATGGGCACGGATGTACCCCTGCCAGTGCCGCCTGCGTGGCGTGTGGCCTCCACGGTAGAAGAGTGCTGCAGCAGGATCTGACCGATTAGGAGTTTGCTGAATGATGTGCTTGATGCCTGTTCTGTTTTTTTGTTGGATTTTGTCTTTCGAGACAGGGTTTCTTTGTGTAGTCTTGGCCACCCTGGAACTTACTCTGTACAGGCCGGCCTTTAACTCACAAAGATGCGCCTGCCTCTGCCTCCCAAATTCTGGAATTAAAGGCGTGCCCCACCGCCACCCAGCCTCAGAAGAAAAATTTCAACCCAGACTTGCCTTTGCTTTTTATAGAAAGAAAGCCCTCCATTGTAGGAAATGTTTTGTTGTGCTGCCTAGAGGTTGAGTATGATTGGGGAAATACAAGCAAGTGTTCTGTCCCGCGGCAGCCACAGCCATTCTTTAAACAACTCTCAGCTGATGACATATCACACCTGTATAGCAATGTATACATCCCTAATGCCACTATGTGTATATTTATGACTAATCTGTGAAACTAACACAAGAAAATAAGAATTTTAAATGAAGTAAACACATTGGTTAAAAGCTGAGGGTGCTGCGTGCTTTGCAGTGGGGAGCTGAGTCCGGGCTCTGTGCATGCTGAGCAGCGCTTTCTCCCTCAGCTGTACTCCAGCCCCACCCAGTGCTCTTCAGGGAACAATGAGCACGTCATTTCATTCACAGGTCACTTCCCCATCAGCCTAATTTGACTTCTTTCACTTCAAGGAAAGGTTTAAGGCTTAGAGTAGCTTCTATATGTGGGCGTAAAAGATACATTTAGGAGGTAGTTTGATGGGATATTAATTCTTCTAGGCAGCAGTCTTTGGTCGGACCCTAGGACCTAAAACCTCTTCAGTAAGGATTTTAGGCAGCCTTTCCAGTACTACATATGTGTTTCCTCATGTACAGGGGTCCTCAGATCTGAGCAGGGCATCATTGGTTACCCCATGTTAGTTATGCCACTATTCTAGTAAACACATCTTGCCAGCTTGGTATAGTTTGTAGAATTCACAGTTGAGTAAGACCATTGGTGCCTTTACCCCAAGCAACCTTTATAGCACTGTCTTGCACGGAGAACTCACCAGCAGGGAGAACATTTCCAGTTCAATTCCAGTTTGATTTCTTTAAATCCTTCATCTCAAGTATGTAGTGTCTTTGGCAATTGGGTCTTATGAACTGGTTTTGTCTGGTTATGACAAGAGCCTGTATTGTTTTGGGAGCCTCTGGGGGGCTCCCCAACCACCAACCACAACAGAAAAATTGTAAAATAAAAATAGGGAGAAGGTTTGCAAAAGGTTATCTGAGCATGACATGGCCGTGGCAATCAGGAACTCACAGCAGCTTCCATCTACTGGGTTGTAGTTCATACAAGCTGGGTCTTCCAAATAGTTATAGGGAAGGAAGGAGCTCAGTTATTGCTCATTAACAACTAACAGACTCTGGGAAATGGGGAGGTGTATTATCCAGCTGTATGCCCACTGTAGAGCCCAGCAGGCTCTGATGGTTAGTTCTGAATTCAGGATCATACAGATGAGGCTAGTTATACTCTGTGGGACACTAAACAAACAAACAAAAATTTGGGAAATGTGGTATAAGGAGGAACTGACAGGGACGGGAAAGAAAAAAAGCGCAGGTGGAGTGTAACCAGAGTACATTATGCAAAGGTATAAATTTGTCAATAGAAGAAAACTTAATAAGAAAAGGAGATGAAGTGGGAGGGGCCAGGAGGGGATAGAAGATTTGGGTTGGAGAGGTATACTTTGTATACTCATGAGAAGTCAAAGAATGAATTTAAAGTATTTTCCTGAAAAAAAAAAAAAAACCAATTATAAAAGTTTTCCAAGTTCATCTGAGTTATCTGATTTTTGCCAAAATACAACTTAAACAATGGAGCCATTCTCAAACTATCCTTTTCTACAAAGCCTTCCTATCCTACGTCCTCAGTAAATTTTACTTGGGTTCAGCCTGCTTGGAGCCCTCTGTTCTGGACAGTCAAGGTGGGAATATTGGTAGAAGATTCTAGTCTGTCTGTCTGTTTGTCTGTTCCTCACTTAGACACGTGCTCACCTGTGCACCATATAGATTCACTGTCTGGGTTGCAACTTGTGTAGGTTACAAGAAATTCAGGGTTCTGGGTCTAAAGTGTGCAGTACAGAGGAGCAGAGCAGTGCGGGAGGAGGGAGCCAGGGCGAGAGAGAGGGAAAGAAGAGCAGAGCATGGTGAGTGCCCTGTGTCACCCCGTCTCCCCTGCACCCTGCTTCTCAGCACTGTATTACTGCAGAGCCCTCTCTCAGATTCCGGGCAGCTAGACATTGCTGTGGATGATCAACTTTTCACACTGCTTCCAAGTCTTGATATGTTTCCTACCCTAGCCTCAAACTAACGATTCTCCTGCGTCTGCCTTGTGAGGGCTGAAATTACTGCTTTTCTGCTCCTGTGTCATAGAAGGGATGTGACCAGCTGTCTCAAGCTCCTGCCGTTGTGACTTACTTGAAGTGATGGACAGCCCTAAATTATGAACTAAAGTAAGTTCCTTATTCCCTGAGTTAATTTTGTCAGGATATTTTTCACAGCAA